TCCATGAATAGGGAAGTTCTAGAGGGATATGGGCTAAATGCAGGCAAATGAGACTAGTTCATTTTAGCAAGCTTGGTCAGCATGGACAAGTTGGACTGAAGGGTCTGTTTCCATGCAGTATGACTCCATGACTTCCCCTTGACGAAACTGTGCTATGTCCCATTTTACCATGCACTTCTAAGTACTATGCAATCGCATCCTTAATAATGGACTCTAAAATCTAACAAACAACAAGGTCAAACTCACTGGCCTACAATGTCCTGTCTTCTGTCTCCTTCCCTTCGTAAGCAGGGGTGTTATATTAGTCACTTTCCAGTAGTCTGCAACCCTCCCCGACTCCAGTGATTCCTGAAAGATCACCACCAATGCTGTTACAGTCTCCTCATCTATCTCCTTCAGAACTTTATCATCTGTCTGGTCCAGGTCATTTATCTGCCTTCAGACTTTTCAGCTTCACCAGCACCATCTCCTGTTGCTGGTGTCTTCCACTGAAAATTTGATGCAAAGTACATATTCACTTTCTCTGCTGTCTCTTTGGAACCCATTACTACTTATCCAGAAGTCCAATGTCCACTCTTGCTCCTTTCTTACCTTTTTATTTATCTTTTTAAAAAAAAAATTCTTGCAGTCGTCTTTGATATTACTAGCTGGCTCACACTCTCATTTCTGCTTGACAGACTAGAGTAAAGTTGCAGTCAAAGCAGAGAAAACCAAACACTGATCATAGTTTGTGGGAGTCCCAGCAGTAAGGGATATAGTGTCGCATGATGAGCTATTCCTCAGGCGAGAAATGAGCAACTACAAGAATTCAACAGTACAGAGTTGCAGGACAAAATTTGGTATGCTTAACTTAAATTAGAACAAAGAGTAACTAGTTCTGATTGATAATGAAGATGTTTCGATCCTTTTGAATGGTAGACCATAGTTAAGACGAGAAATCCTCAGTCTGCCCTCCATTAAACCTTTATAAAAACTGAAAGAACTGTGGATGCTGTAAATCAGGAACAAAAACAGAAGTTGCTGGAAAAGCTCAGCAGGTGTGGCAGCATCTATGAAGAAAAAATCAGAGTTAATGCTTTGGGTCTGGTGACCCTTCCTCAGAACTGATGGTAGCTGGGAAAATGTTGGCTTATATGCAGAAAATAGGGAGGGGGATGGGGTAGGGAGTAAACGATAGGTTGGAGCCCGGAGAAAGCGAGAGGGAGAGCAGTTGGATAGACAAAGGAGTTGATAATGATCTGGCTAGGAAGGTGAATAACTGTTAATGAGGCCTGGTAATGACTAACAATAAGTAGTGTGTAATTGCAGGCTGTATGATAACAAGACCTGGTGTGTGGGGTAGGGGGCTAGGACATGGGAGAGTTTAGGCCCTAAAATTATTGAACTGTGTTTAGTCTGGAGGGCTGCAGGGTCCCCAAGCGAGTGTTCTTCCAGCTTGCGTTGAGCTTCAGTGGAACACTGCAGCAAGCCAGAGACACAGATATAGAACATAGAACAGTACAGCACAGTACAGGCCCTTCGGCCACGATGTTGTGCCGAACTTTTAGCCTAATCCTAAGGTCTATCTAACCTCCACCCATACCTTATACTATCATCCATATGCCTATCTAATAGCTGCTTAAATGCTCCTTATGAGGCCTACTCCACTACTCTCTCCGACAATGCATTCCACGCCCTGACCACTCTGAGTAAAGAACCTACCTCTGACGTCTCCCCTATATCTACCCCACTCACTTTAAAACTATGCCCCCTCATAATAGCTACCTCCACCCTAGGAAAAAGTCTCTGGCTATCCACTCTATCAAATCACCTCTCATCCTTCGTCGTTCTAAAGAGAAAAGCCCTAGTGCTCTCAACCTTTCCTCGTAAGACCTTCGAGATATTGGCCAGGGAACAGGGTGTTAAAGTAGCAGGGAAGAAGTAGCTCAAGGTCTTTTTTGCAAGCAGAACGTAGATGTTGTGTGAAGCGGTCACCCCGTCTATGCTTCTGAATATAGGGCACTGTGCTTCTGAAAGTCCAGTTGTTTCTCCTCAAAAGGAACAATCATTTTTGGAAATTAAGAAGTTGTCCATTTGCTGAACAGCATCTGCCAAGGAGATGCATGAACTGCAAATGTAGTCATGAATGACCATGTTCTTCCCATGGATATCTGGATTACTGCTGGGAAGGAAGAAAATAACCGCCTTCAGTTCAGTTTACTGAAAGCCAGAAAAGTGACATTCGAATCCGCGATAACAGAATTTTGGAGTTAGAAAGCAGTCTTCAATCTTGTGAATGAGATCTTGGAGGTTCAAAACAGATGTTCAACGATGAGGGAAAAACAGTAACTTGAACTTTAAACAGTCTGAGAAAAAAACATCAAATTTCAGAAATGGTCCACTGAAAGGGTAGTTCAACAACTGCAAGCAGCTGGTGAAAAGCTAGCCAGGGAAAAGGAAACACTTGAGTCCAAATGGATCAAGCCAATATTGAATGTTCCAAAATTATTAATTTTTATAAAGGTCTGTTGGAGCTTACAATTGAACCTTTTCACCAAGCTATGGAAACACTTAAGGTTGCTTTGAATGAAGAAACGGAAACCCAAACCACAGAGGTCCCTACAACTGAGGAATACCTCGCAAAAGCTTGAAGATGAGCACCAACTGAAATTTGATAGTGTTAAGTGTAACAAGCTTTGGAAAAGTCTACTTAATCAAAAAAAGACTGCTGAACAGCAAGTCCTACCAAGTCCTGTATAGAGACAGCCAGGAGGTGGGTGGAATGGAGAAACATAAAGGCAATTCCTTTACAATCATAACGACATACTTTCTGTGAAAGCAGCTATGTCCCCATGACCTCAGATCACATGGAATGGGAGCCTGAGTCTATAGGGCTGCAAGTATGATGTCTTCTTTTACCAGCCTCTGCATTTGATAAAATCTGTTGCTGTTCACTCAAGTGTAGATCTCACATGACTACTGTGGCAACTTTTTTTTTGCATACTAGAGGAAAGTATACAGTGGTGTTCCCAGGAAATTTTGATTAAGATCAGTGCTTTCCTTGTTTTGCAATAACTAACCTTTTACTTGTCTTGATAATATTGTGATGTTAGAGTAAATCTGGAAATTCTCATCAGCTGTGGCAACATTGAGTATAGGAGTTGGGAGGTAGTGTTGTGGCCGTACAAGACATTGCTTAGGCCACTTCTGGAATACTGCATTCAATTCTGGCCTTCCTGCTATAGGAAGGATGTTGTGAAACTTGAAAGGGTTCAGAAATGGATGTTGCCACATTTGGAGGGTTTGAGCTATAGGTAGAAGGTGAATAGGCTGGGGCTATTTTCCCTGGAGCATCGGAGGCCGAGTGGTGACCATATAAAGGTTTATAAAGTCATGAGGTGCATGGATAGAATGAATAACCAAGGTCTTTTTTCCCAGGGTAGCGGAGTCCAAAACTAGAGGGCATAGGTTTAAGGTGAGAGGGGAAAAGTTTAAAAGGGACCTAAGGGGCAACTTTTTCACACAGAGGGTGATGCACGTATGGAGTGAGCTGCTAGCGGAACTGGTGGAGGCTGGTACAATTACAGCATTTAAAAGGCATCTGGACAGATATATGAATAGGAAGGGTTTGGAGGGATATGGGCCAAATGCTGGCAAATGGGACGAGATTAATTTAGAAAATCTGGTTGGCATGGATGAGTTGGACCAAAGGGTCTGTTTGCGTGCTGTACTTCTCTATGACTCTGCGACTTCACATTTTGCAAGGAACAAGGAATCACTGACAGCAACTTGTGGATTTCTGGGTATAACTGTGAATGTGTGAAAGCCACTTGTTGTTCGTTTCATAGGGTGATGGGAGGAACTCTGTCAATAGAACCACAAGACATGGATGGTTGCAATTATCCCTGTTTGAAATGTCTTGAAGGAGACCAGTGTGGCTGGGGAGAGAATGGAATAACATGGAATCTCCTTGAGGAAGATGCCAAAGATCATGAGAACAGAAAGTTGTATTGGCCTGATCTTGAAGCACACGTAAGGTCCTTGAAAATCATTTGGGTAATTACTTTGACATCAGAAATGGTGTACATATTTATGTATGTAAATGGGCCAAATCGAACAGTGAACCTAAAGATTTCAGAGAAGTAGCTAGTTAGTGTAGCTGCTTTATGGAGCAAAATGCCCAGTATTGCTGCAGAGGACGAGGTCAGTCTGGAGATCACCAAAAGAACTTGGCTAAAATGACCATTTTCTAAAACTAAATCACCAGACAGCATTTAAAAACACATGTTGATTATGTCACATTAGCAGCATAGATGAAACACCCATACATTCTGAATGAGTAGCAATCAAGTTTTCAGATCATTTTAAAAAAGGTAAACATCCAATTCACTGAAGGGATGGAAGATGATTTGTTGTGGAGACACATTTATAAAACCAGAGGTTTTATATCTGATACAATATGACATCCTTGTGATATTTCCATGTACAAAAAAAACTGGGTATGAATTTGATGAACTGTGCATCAGATGCTGAAAAGAATAAATTTGGTTATTAAGATGTCATGTTTCAAACTATCCTCGTAAAAGCTTTATTTTATTTCAAATTACTAGTTTTTTTTCGCATTTCAAAGTGGCCATGACTTGACGCCAATGTCAGCGTTCACATTCTATACTCTGTATCCAGGTTGACCCTGTTTTTAGAAGGATTTTTAGAAGCTTCAAAAGTCCACTTGTGCACCAAAGTTGGTGGTAATAGCTCTCCATCTTTGGATAAGAACTATCTAAAAATGACAAAACTTCTGACTTAAATGACTTTTCTACGTCTGTATAGTTACAATTTCTGTCTTAATGCCTTTCATATTTCTGTTTCTGTCTTTACTATAGCTATACAATATCTTTTAGTGGTTCTTGTGAAATCACCTATTTTATATTTAATGCATTATCCGATATTGAGAAGTTTTACAGTTACTTTCATTAATACTTATTTTATCTGATTTTCATATTTTTGCAACTTTTCAACAGAGCTGTCATCACTGAAAAAATTTGAAGAAATTCGTAAGGCCAATCAGGCTATAGCCCAAAGGTTTGCTAATGAGGACACTTCCTCTGAAGAAGAAGAGGATTTTGAGGGTCAGCAAGGGAAAATCGTTGCCTCAACATTTACAGCATATTCTAGTCATATAGGTAATATAATTTGTTGCAACTTAAGTACTGTTTTGTAAATTCAATGCATCTAAAGGCATTGGAAATCCATTATTCAGTGTATCATATATTCACTCGGCTCTTTAAGGAGGTAAATGTTTATTGTGACAGTGGTTTAGAAAGTACGCATTTTATCTTGCACAGATTATGATAATTCAAAAGAGCACCAAAGTAATGGAAAGCCAAAGTTTATGCTGTGAGACTAGAATGGTCGTCTCGTGATTTGTAAAGGCATTATTTTGGAAAATGCACTAGTTAGTAATTAACAGTAAACTGCTTACTTCATTTAATTTTTAAACCAATTTGCTACCAACAGAATCCACTTGCCAATTACTTGCCCTTCACACATTATTGATGTTAGTTACCCCCTTAGATTGGTATTTTTGCAAATTGGCTTGGTGAGTGCAAGATGAAAAGCTTTAAGAAAATGTATCTATCATCAACAATAGTGGATTTTTGTATTACAGAAGAGCGCTTAGATCTTAGTTTTCATTTTTAATAACAAGTATCCTTATCAACATAGTTCAGCGATAACATGGTTTTACTTTTTGAATTCCAACATCTGGATAATAATGGACTTCTATTTTATAAAATAGCATAACACTAAAATTGTGAAACTGCTTTTGTGCTCACTAGAAATATAATTAATCCAAAATCTAATTCATGTACTTGCATTCTAGATTGAATATAATTTCTATTAATAACATTTGAAACAAATGGATTGTGTATTGCAACTAGATTTCTAAATCTGAGGTCTGAAAACCTAATGATCAAACTTAGTAATGCATTTAGATTTACCCAGTGTGATACTTAGTAACTTGAGTATCAGTGACCTTGATTGCCAATAAAACACACAACAGAAATTCAAAGTCGTCTGAAAAATTCTCCCAGTTGAATATTTCTTCCCCTAAAAAGGTAACTAATAAATTATGAAAAAAAATTGGATGTGCAAAATGATCATATAAATAAAGATAAATCACACTTCTGTTGCTTGCTTAAGTCGATTTAAATAGGATATGTCCTTTCCTTCAGTGTGATTTTTTCCTATCAAATGGGATGAGAATTCAATTGGTTTTTATGTATAGAAGTTCAAATCTATCTTAATTTTTGACCTTGTACTTAGCTTTTTGAATCAGATTAAACAATAGACGGACAGAGGAAAATACAAAAAGAAGTATAGATGTGAAAATGAAATTCTTCCAGTCTAAGCATGAAGGTTCTCAAAATGGAGTTAAAGCTTCTTAAAGATGCTGATTTGGTTGAATTTGGAGACAAATAAAGAATGTTACTTATTGTTTCTTGAAATGTTGAGTGGTGATTTTGATATTAAATATAATGGTTTTGGTATCACCAAATGCATGTTCTGTACTTAATGGACTCAAAACCAAAAAAGTTGTTGGAGATTGACACTAAATTTCCTATAGTGGGGGGAGTGATGAAGAAATTAGAGAAGTTCTATTATGTACTCTATGCCAAGTGATTATAAGAGGACACTCCTATGTTTTTGAAATCGATTGTGCAGGAACAGTTCAAATAGAACCAACAAAATAAGCATGGGACTTTTTTTATCAAAACAAATAATAATGAAACAACCATTAGACAAACTTGAGCACTATCTGTATGAAAATAATCCACTAAATGGCAACCAAAGCAATTTAAAAAGGAATAGATTTCACTGAACAAGCATATCATTTAGATGTTGAAGGTTGTATGGGATCTTATTCAGGAATTTGAGTGGGGAAAAAAGTCAATAAAATTCACATGACAGGCTGATTCTTAGGGTAGCCACTGCTTGTAAATTTGTGTGAAACTTAAAAGATGAATAAGAATTTGGCTGCAAGAGGAGACAGTGGCTGATAAGCATGTATGGAAGTGTTTTGGAGGTTGTATCCTGAACACAATACCAAGGATTAGAGCTGGCTGTCTAATTTACAGTCACCACAGCTGACCTGTTATCTAATTATATTCAGTAGCAAATCAATAGTGATGAAACAGCCAAGAGTTGCAGAATGACCAATACAGTGCTTGAAAATAAATGAGGGACGTGTTAGAGTGAATAGCCAAGGCCTTTTCCCGACGGTGGAGGAGTGTGAAACTGGAGGACATAGGTTTAAGTAAGAGGGGAAAGATTTTAAAAAGGACTTGAGGGGTAACTTTTATGCCTAAGAGGGTGATGCATGTATGGAAAGGGCTACCAGAGGAAGTGATAGATACTGGTACAATTACAACATTTAAAAGCCATCTGGATGGATGTGTGAATAGGAAGGGTTTGGAGGGATATGGACCTAGGCAAATGGGACCAGATTAGATTGGTATGTCTGGTTGGTGCACATAAGTTGGATTGAAGGGTCTGTTTCCATGCTGTACATCTGACTCTAAATGGTCATAGATCAAGTTAAAAATAAAACAATGCAATGTCACTGTGGGGGCAAAAAATTAGATGTATTGAATGTGTCCAACTAGCCAGAGGAGAGTGAAAGAATACCTGATGGTAGCCTATTTTTGACAGTGTCTAGACAATATCAAGAAGCAATTGATAAAATATTTGAGAAACTATTTCTGTTGATGGAAAGATTGAGAAAACGTGCACAGATTTAAGGATTTTCACAAAGGCTGTGTTTGCTGACACCAGTACACGTGAGTTGTGGACTGTTTTTAATTATGTACGTACATACAAATGTTTTGAGGTGGGGAACGTGACCAGTGGCCTAGTGATTGAGAATTTTGGGACCCAGAAGGGATGGGGACCCAAAAGTGGAAACAGCCTTCCGGCCTCTGAGCCCTTCTTACGCTGACATCAGTATAAAATACAAGAATAGGTATGTTAAAAATGGAAAAGATCAGTAAACACAAATGTGGGTCCATCTAGAAGCAAGGACAGGAGAATTTATCCTATGAAACAAATGGCAGTGAAGCTAAATGCCTTTTATCTGCCTTCTCAAAGGATGATACAGGAAGTCTCCTTTGAATAATTCAAATTCAAGGGTGTAATGAGAGGGAGGAACTGAAAGAAATTAATATTAGTAAAGCAAAGTGTATTGGAGTCAATGTAATGACACTGTAAGATGAAAATTCCCCGGGACCTGATAGCCTTTATCTTGGATTGTTGAAAGAGATGGCTACGGAGGTGATGAATCCACCGGTGATTATTCAAAATTCTCTTCATTCTACAAAATTGCTGACAGAATAGGATGTTGTATGTAGCCCATTGTTTAGGAAAGGAGGGACCGAGAAAACGTGGCACCTACAGACCTACTATGTCACTGGTAGAGAAAATACTGAAATCTATTATGAAAGATTTGGTCAGTGGATATTTAGAAATTCTGTTTAGGCAGAGTCAACGTGGATTTATAAAGAGGAAATCCATACTTGACAGAAAAAAGGTTTGTTTGTTTGTTTTTTTTTGGAGGATGTTTCTAGCAAAGTCAGTAAGGGAGAACCAGTGGAAATGATGTATTTGGATTTTTGGAAAGTTTTTGATAAACTACCAAATGGGAGGTCAGTCAACAAAATAAAAGCTTTTGGACTTGGTGTTAACATACTCGTCTGGATTGAGGATTGGTTAAGGGGCAGAAATCGAATGTGAGAATAAATGGGTCATTCTTGGGTTGACCAACACTGACCAATGAGATATTTCAAGGATTAGTGCTCCGGCCCCAGTTGTTCACAGTCTGTATCAATAATTCGGATATGATGGTTAATAGCAGATGATTCAAAGATTGGTGTGAATGTGAGTTTTGAAGAATAATTTAGACAGACTGAGTAAGTAGGCGAGATAAAAACAAAACATAATGTGGACATATGTGGAAAACCATTTTGGTATAAAGAATGAAGATGCAGATTGTTCATTATTCAGTAAGCAATTTTGAAGGCAAACAGTGTGTTAGCTTTTTTGGAAAGAAATTTTGAGTACAAGAACAAAAAGGTCTTGCTGCAATTGTATAGAATGCTAGTGAGACTGCATTTAGAGTACTATGTACAGTTAGATGCTTTTGATTGAGAATGGATATACTTGCCATTGAGGGAGTCAGGTGGAGGTTTGTCAGACTGATTGATTGATTCATGGAATGGGGAACTATGCTCTGAAGAAAAATTGACAAGACTTTGCCTGTATTCTTTTCATTTTAGAAGAATGAAAGGTGATTTCATAGAAACTTACAAAATCCTTTAAAGGGATGGACAGAATAGATGCAGAAAGGATGTTTCCTTTGGGGCCTAAAATCCCAGGACACAGTCTCAGTTTCAAAGGCAAGCCATTTAGGAGGAAGTTATCACAGGATGTGGTGAATCTTGGAATTCTTTACCCTGGGGCTGGGAAAGTTCAGGCTAGGAATTGATAGGATTCTAGTTACTAATAACCATAAGAAATATGGGGATGGCATGGGAATATAATGTAGATGATCAGCTATAATCTGGAATGGTGGAGCAAGCACTGGGATCTGAAGGGCTTACTCTTGTTCCTATGTCACATGACATCTCTTTTGGGGAAAAAAAATTGCATGGTAGTACAGAATTTAATATGTTAGAAAGATATGTGAAGTTGAAGCTTTTTATCTTGCACTCATTAGTACTGAGATGCAAGAAAATCAATTTACGTGGCATGAAAAGAGGGTGCTGATGGGTGGAACTAAAGTTGCCGTGAAGTGGGCAGCAGGAACTGTTGAAATGTCTTAATTAAAAATTTAAATTCAAACCGGGAAAATTGTCTCTGGCCAGGATATTGCCATGATGATGCATGATGGATTAGCTGTCTTCATAGCTCTTTCCTCAAGAAAAAGTGGTGTGTGGGCATTTATGTGATAAAATGTAGTTTCTAACATATGCAAATGAAACCCACTGTGAGTGAAATTGATAATTTTAAATTGGTTTCCAGTGTAAATCTTAGTGCATTCCGGACAATGTAGTAAATGTTGTCCAACGGAGAAATCACATTTAGTGATGAATGCAGTGCCCTGAGTTTTACAAGCAAGAGCTGGTTGAACATGATCAGCATGCTGCTCATTGTGGACAGTCAAAAGGGGTTTTTTTTTTTTATTGATGCGATCTCCCAGTTATTAGGCTGTATAGCCTACAAAACGGCATCACAACAGCACTGAAATTCCAGTATCTCATTTGTGTGGTGGGAAGAACTTTTTAGCTTGACAGCAGCATCCAGCAACTACTTGTATGTTTACTGCAAGACAGCAGCGTGAAATGACTAGCCTCATCTGTTACTCAGATTTTTGAAGTACCTTTCCATCTGGGTAATGTTAGGTAGACTGGCCATCTATCAGGGCCATAGTCCAGTCTATGACACTTTCATGAGTTTATGTAATGTTCAATGAGTGATGATTTGTTTGCAGTGGGAAATTTCATGCAGAGTAGTTTTGTACACTCTATTTTGGGATCAAGTCTAGTCATTAAGCAGAAGGCTAGGAGCTTACTCATGAAGTTGCAAATTGAACTGATATGTGAAACTGCAGGAAATCCCTTTTCGTATGATTATCAATTAGCACATTAAAGAAAAGGAGCTGGTTTGACTGCTCCATGTCAGAGCTAAATTTGTGTGCAGGATGGAGTCTAAGGTTTGTAAGGAAATTCTTTTCATCTGGTTTGAATGTTGCAAACTTTATCTAGTTGTCCCAAGTATATAAGAAGTGAGAGATTAGTGGTCATTCTTAAATATGTCTTTCTTGTGGAAATTAGCAAACGTGTTAGCCAGATCTGGGCCAAAAGGGGTCCCATTGCAATGCCAAGTATTTGGGTATATGTGGTGTTGAAACGGAATTCAATTGCATATGTGGCTAAGTTGGTGAGTTTAAAGAAAAATGATGCAAACACCAGTGGTACATGTGTATTGCTGTGATGCAATAACCTACTGCAAATGTTCGTGGTTTGCTTGAGCGGAATGTTAGGGAATAAGCTGGCAATGTTGAAAAGAGCACATGGCAATTGATATGTAGGTCTTGCATGATTTTCACAAAAGTGAAAGGATCCTTCACAGTATAAGGGGAAAACAGGGTTAAAACTGGTTGCAGTAGCTTGCCCAACCATTTGGCCAATTCTGTCATACAGAGCCAGTCAGAGATAAAATTGGGTGTAGAGGGGCATCACTTTGTTTATCTTGGACAGCCTGTATATGCATGTAGGCAGTGAGCCATGAAGGTGAATCCTTTAATCTACATTCACCATCCTTATAATGTCCAACCCGTGCCTCTAGAACTTTTCCGAGTATGCTTGTGTGGTCACATGTCATGGATCCTAAGGATATAAACTTGTACTCCTCAATGAGGACCGCGTACACATTTGCCCCTGCCTAGACTTGACATTGGGAAAAATAAAAAGTAAGGTAGAAGATGTAAAAATTCTGCAATTACTCAAGTCAACGAGTTGATGTGTAGAAGTTTGCGTGGGCCTCCTATTTGTACCTATGTATTCGAGCAAGTGGAAAGTTGTGTAAATAACCTGCAGAAGAGTCGAAATTTAGAATACACATGTGAGTGACTTATTCACATGTAACATCTGCAACAAAAAGCAATTTTAAAGCTTGAGTAGTGTAAAATTAAGGTTCAAATTAAGTGAGAGTCCATTCTTTATCCTTAGATAGTTGCTGCACTTTGCAGTCTTAGGCTTGGCTCTGCTTGAACCTTTTTGGCTTGCATTACATTATACCTGTTGATATTGGTATAGAAGATTATTGTTATAGTTTATATTTGCATCTTCATAAAATGAGAAATGGGAACCCAAGTTGGAGGAAAATCTACATTTACCATATGAAGGCGAATGGGATGTTATATATTGTTACTTAGAAAGTTGACATATTAAAAATCCAAAACTTCTAAAATATGTTATGGATTAATCTTATTATATAATTATACTAGGTGAAAATTCTTCCAGAGAATTGGAACGCACGAAACAATATCTGAATGATGCATTTCAGTCAGGTGCTCAAACATGCCTCATCTGCATAGCCTCAGTAAAGAGGAATCAGGCTGTAAGTATTGAAGATGTTTGACAAAATAGTATTTATTTATAGTTGGTGTATTTACCATGATGTGAATTTGATGAAGAGTATTAGCTCAGGGTTATTGTGAGATTTGCTTTTTCCATTTAACAAACTGATCAAGTCACTGCACTTGTCAAATCATAATACTGTATTTAACAGTCTTGTATATTAGTGTATTGTTAGTTTTTTTTCAATTTCTAGTAACTGCATCATAAGTTAATGTTCATCCTTAAATGCTATACTTTGCGACATGAGCCTTTTGATAGATTTAAGCTTGAGCTTAATGCAGAAATAAAAGGTAATAATTCCATAATGTTTTAAAGTTATGATACCATTATTGACAGTGTATAAGACAACTTCTTTTTGGCCCAAAATTCATGTTTTGCATATACTCAAAATATGAGCGTTGACCTTCTTTTCAGCCATGATGTATAATATTCTTATTTGGCCGCCTCCGTTTTAGATGAATACCTTTTATAACTTGAGTTTAAGGGATCAAGCATGTCACATAGGCTGGGCTGCAAGCGTCACCGAGGGGTCTTATTGGCATGCTCGCATGGCGCAGACTCCACATGACTAAAGATAAAGATGGTGACCAGCTGCAACACTTCCACAGTTTGCTATTATACCAGACACACAAGTCAAACCCATTTTAAGTGTATTCAAAGGTTGACTTCCTACCGACATCTATGCTAATAGTCGCTTCGCGATCAAGTTGCTTTTTTTTTGTTGATTCTGGTTAATGCTTGCTAAATTCATAGAATCATAAAATCCCTACAGTGTAGAAGTAGATCATTTGGCCCATTAAGTCCACACCGAACCTCCAAACAGCATCCCAGCCAGACCCATCCAATCCCTGTAACCCTACAATTCCTGTGGCTAATCCGCCTAACCTATACATCCCTGGACAGCATGGGCAATTTAGCATGGCCAATCCACCTAACTCGCACATCTTTGGACTCTGGGAGGGAGCCGGAGCACCTGGAAGAAATCTATACAGGCATGGGGAGATTGTGCAAACTCCACACAGACAGTCGCCCAAAGGTGGGATTGAACCTGGGTCCCTGGTGCTGTGAGTGCTAACTGCTGAGCCACTGTGCTGCCTAAATTACTCTGTTGCTAAACTGTTAATCCAAGTCGCACCTTAAACAAGGCATTTGTGACCTGTTGGATGTTTCTTCCAAATCTTTGTCCCAGCATTTTCTTTTGTTAAGTAATGTTTTCAAGTCTCTTAGAATTCTAGTGAGGAACCATGATGGGGATTTTTTTTAATTAGTATCTCCTACAATTAATTTTCTTTCTTTTTCTACATTATCACCAACTTGGTTCATGGGATTTGTAAACAATAATCACATCTTTTTGTGACCTTATTCACTGAACTATTCCTCAGAAAATCAGGTATCAGAGCAGTTCTTAGAATGACATCATAAATGTGTAGAAGTTTTGAAATTAGATATGCTCATTGGACAACAAACAGTAATTTAACTGTTATTTAAAATATATCTTTTAAAAGTACATTTTCCAAGTAAGTATTAATTTACAATGCACCTAAGTTCCATTTTTTTCTTCATTTTAGATCTGGAGTTGCTTCCGCTGTTACTGTATCTTTCACATCTCATGTATCCAGAAATGGGCAAAAGACAGCATTTTTCTTGTATCCTCTGTGTTGGATGATGACTTTGGAAAAAAAGATCATCCCTGGCCATGGTAAGCTGTAAATACTTGTTTTCAAATGAAAGGCATTAAATATATGTTGATTTGATTTTGATGGCTAACAGAAAGCAAAGATAAATTTTTTAACCTACCATCCCACCAGCAACCGCAGCCATTTCTGCCACCTCCAGCAGGATGCCACCACCATACACGTTCTCTTCCCCTTCCTTGCCAGCCTTCTGCAAAGACCATTCCCTCTGCGACACACTGATCCAATCCTCCTTCACACTCAAAACACTCACACACACCCCACCCCCCACCGCCTCCCCGACCTGAGCCTCATGGCACCTTCCCTTGCAGCTGCAGAAGGTGTAGCACCTGTCCATTTACTTCCTCCGTCCTCGGTCTTCAAGGGCCGAAACAGACATTCCAGGTGAAGTAGTGCTTCACTCAATCTGTCTACTCTGTTCGCTGCTCACAATGTGGTCTCCTTGACATTGGGGAAAAGAAGCATAGACTGGGTGACCGCTTCGCAGAACACCTATGCTCTGTCTGCAAAAGAAGACCCTGAGTTTCAGTTGCCTGCTACTTCAATACACCATCTTGTTCCCTGGCCAATATCTCTGTCTCAGGCTTGTTGCAGTGTTCCAGCGAAGCTCAGCGCAAGTTGCAGGAACAGAACCTCATTTTCCCCTTGGGAACTTTTAGAGCCTTCTGGACTCAAAATCGAGTTCAACAATTTTAGGGCTTGGGGCACCACCTCCCATGTCCTTACCCCAACCCCCAACACCAAGTCTTTTTATTACATGGCTTGCTAATACACACAACCCATTGTTAGCTACTAATAGTCCCCACTAACCTAGAAGAATGAATAGCTGCTAATCATTATCTAGTCCTTTTGTTCATCTGTTCTTCTCTCTCCTTGGGTTCTATCTCCATCTATTCTTTACTCCTTATCTCCTCCCACTACCCTATCTTCTGCATAAGAACAACCTTTTTCCTAGCTGCCATCAACTCTGAAGAAGATCACTGGACCCAAAACATTAATTCTGATTTCTCTTCACAGATACTACCAGCTCTGCTGACCTTTGCCAGCAATTTCTGGTTTTGTTATAAATTCCAACTCAGTGACCTAGTTAAACAACTTAAAATAGTGTGATAGTAGGAACTACCGATGCTGTAGAATCTGAGCTAACAAGGTGTAGAGCTGGGTGAACACAGCAGGCCAGGCAGCTCTACACCTTGTTATCTTAAAATAGTGTGATATACTTTGAGGCCTATTTTTCTATCTCATCTTCGTTGTCTTTGTCTTTGTTTTGCATGGACTTTTTGCCACTTTCAAATCTGTAATTTGCTTAATGATTGCTGAGTGATTTCAATCCCCACTGGAAATCAAGCACCACTATGCTGGGAGTGATCGCTAAGGATTTTAAAGATTCTCAAAAGTCCCCCAATCAACTTCTTTTTTTTTTTAAAAGACCCTGGTTGACAGAAAACATGGGCCAGGTTTCTGTACTTCTGCGTAAGAATTACTACATAATACAAACAAAATGACTCTCTCGTTAGAGGCAAACAATTATGAAGCGTGAACATGTAACTCCTACTAATTTAATCTCTAAACCTGTGATAAATACACTCGCGCTCTCCCATTTAAGGGTGTTATGGATGGAGTGATGACCAGGTAGGCAATTCGATGGTTTCTGTTCACATGATTTGCTGAGATGGTTTTTGTGCTGATCAGCATATTGTTCCCTGGCCTGCCTTCTCAAGTTACCTCCAATGGTTTGCAAGAGCCACAGGGTGGCTGAGTCACACTTTTAAAATGTCTCTGACTTCGTAATTAAAAGTCACAACTTACAACAACTTCTGAAGGAAAACTGGTTTTCTTCAGGCATAAAATGGCCTTTACAGCAGAGAACAAGAGAGTTCTTGAGCTGGTGGAGATTGGATAGCTTTCCCTTATCTTTTTCGTTTCCCCAAACTGTTCAGCAGCCTGAGAAATAATTACATGGTTGCTGGCAGAAGG